GGCTGGTTGCCAAAAAGATCAAGGCAGGATTAGAGGGTTGAGACTTTCAGTCTCATTTTCCAACCTCCGAGGGAGGGAAGGGAGAGGGGTTGAAGACTGAGTTCATCACCAATGGCCAATGATTTAATCAATCATGCCTACGTAATGAAGCCTTCATAAAAACTGCACAGGATGGAGTTCTAGGAGCTTCCGGATAGCTGAACATGTGGAAGACGGTGGATGGTTCCTGGAGGATGGCACTCAGAGAGGGCATGGAAGCTCCACACCGCTTTCTGCATACCTTGCCCTATGCATCTCTTCCATCTGGTTATTAACCTATGTCCTTTGTAATATCCTTTATAATAAACGGGTAAATATAAGTAAGGTGTTTCCCTGAGTTCTGTGAGCTGTCCTACCAAACCCTAGGAAGGATTTGTGGGAACCTCGCTTTAGAGCCAGTTTGTCAGAAATACAGGTCACAACCGAGGGTTTGTAATTGGCATCTGAAGTGGGCCAGTCTTGTGGGACTGCAGGATCTAACACTATCTCCAGGTAGATAGTATCAGATTGAATTGAATTAGAGGACAGCTATCTGGTGTCTGCTAGAGAATTGCTTTGTGTGTGGAGAAAGCCCCAACCCATCTGGTGTCAGAAGTATTGTGTTGAGTGACTGCATAAGACAGTAAAGAGGGCCAGGTTCGGTGGCTCACGCCTGTAATGCCAACACTCTGAGAGGCAGATCATGAGGTCAAGAGATCGAGACCATCCTGGTCAACATGGTGAAAGCCCGTCTCTACTAAAATTACAAAAATTAGCCAGTTTTGGTGATGCACGCCTGTAGTCCCAGCTATTCGGGAGGCTGAGGCAGGAGAATCACTTGAACCCCGGAGGTGGAGGTTGCAGTGGGACGAGATCATGCCACTGCACTCCAGCCTGGTGACAGAGCGAGATTCCGTCTCGAAAAAAAGAGCTCCAAGACCAGGCACGGTGGCTCACGCCTGAAATCCCAGCAGTTTGGGTTTGGGAGGCCGAGATGGGAGGATTGCTTGAGCCCAGGAGTTCGAGACTAGCCTGGGCAACATAGTGAGACTCAGTTTCTCCAAAAGTATAAAAATTATCTGGGTGTGGTTGTGTGCACCTGTGGTCTCAGCTACTCGGGACCCTGAGGTGGGAGGATTGTTTCAGCCCGGGACGTTGAAGTTGCGCTGAGCTGTGATTGCACCACCATACTCCAGCGTAGGCCACAGAACAAAGCCTCCCATCTCACTTAAAAAAAAAAAAAAAGAAAGAAAAGAAATCTGGTAGGGCCAGGAGTGGTGGCAGGTTTGGCTCACGCCTGTAATCCTAGCACTCTGGGAGTCTGAGGTGACAGGATTGCTTGAAGCCAGGAGTTCCAGAGCAGCATGGTCGATATAGGCAGACTCCATATCTACAAAAAAAAAAAAAAAAAAAAAAAAATTAGCCAGGCATGGTGGCAGTGCCTGTAGTCCCAGCCACTCGGGAGGCTGAAGGATCACTTGAGCCCGGGAGGATGAGGCTGCAGTGAGCTATGATCATGCCACTGACAGAGACCTTATCTCTTAAAAAAAAAAAAAAATCTGGTAGGGCTAGTTGTCATCAAAACCATTTGGTTAGTTGTCATCAAAACCATTTTATATGTGTATGAACATTTTCTCTTTTTGCATTTCTTATACTATTTTTAAAATAACAAAAATAAAGTTTTTAAAAAATTTATTTTAAGAACCAAGATCTGCATAAGCCAGAAAAATGAAAATGGGAGGCAGTAGGTGTGGGGAAGACAGTAGCTGTATATTTTTGTTGAGAAATATATGTCAAGGTTGAAAGTGGTTATTTCTGGATTTTTAGTCTTAAAAGAGTAGCTCTTGGCCGGGCGCGTGGCTCAAGCCTGTAATTCTGCATTTTGGGAGGCCAAGACGGCGGATCACGAGGTCAGGAGATCAAGACCATCGTGGCTAACACGGTGAAACCCCGTCTCTACTAAAAAAATACAAAAAAACGGGCCGGGCGAGGTGGCGGGCGCCATGTTCCATACTCGGGAGGCTGAGGCCGGAGAATGGCGTGAACCTGGGAGGCGGAGCTTGCAGTGAGCTGAGATAGCGCCACTGCACTCCAGCCTGGGCGACAGAGCCAGACTCCGTCTCAAAAAAAAAAAAAAAAGAATAGCTCTTCTTTTTAGAGTTCACATGCTACCCCTGTCAGCGGCATGGATTCATTATGTAATTTTTTCATTCTGCAAATATGTATGGAGTGCTGGCTCTGTGCCAGACACTGGTAATACAAGGAATGTTGAGCAAAACCCACGGCTCTCTCAGGGAACTTGAAGTCACGTGAACTCCTTGTGTCATGCATGTTATCCTCTTTTCCTATCACGTATGCTACAAATATTTTCCTTTAATACTTTCTTACGATCTGCACTATTTCTTTTTTTCTTTTTTTTTTTTGAAACAGAGTCTCACTCTGTTGCCCAGGCTGGAGTGCGGTGGTGCAATCTTAGCTCACTGCAAGCTGCGCCCGGTTCACGCCATTCTCCTGCTTCAGCCTTCAAGTAGCTGGGACTACAGGCGCCTGCCACCACGCCCAGCCAATTTTTTTGTATTTTTAGTAGACACAGAGTTTCACCACATTAGCCAGGATGGTCTCGATCTTCTGACCTCGTGATCCACCGGCCTTGGCTTCCCAAAGTGCTGGGATTACAGGTGCGAGCCACTGCGCCGGGCCCTTTTTTTTTTTTTTTTTTTTTTTTGTTGAGACGTAGTCTTGCTCTATTACCCAGGCTGGAGTGCAGTGGTGCCATCTCAGCTCACTAGCTCACTGCAACCCGCCTCCTGGGTTCAAGCCATCTCCTGCCTCAGCCTTCCCGAGTAGCTGGGACTACAGGTGCGTGCTGCCATGCCCGACTTTATTTATTTATTTATTTATTTATTTACTTTTAGCAGAGACGGAGTTTCACCATGTTGGCCAGGCTGGTCTTGAACCCTGACCTCAAGTGATCCACCTACTTCTAGCCTCCCAAAGTGCTAGGATTGACAGGCATGAGCCACTTCACCCAACTGCATAATGTTTTAAAAACCTACTTATTATTATTATTTATTGTAGTTTATTATACTTTAAGTCATAGGTACATGTGCACAAACATGGCTTGCTACATAGGTATACATGTGCCATGGTACTGCTGCACCCATCAACTCACTACTACACAGTATTTCTCCTAATGCTATCCTCCCCAGTCCCCCCCACCCCCAGAAAGGCCCTGGTATGTGATGTTCCCTGCTCCTCTGTCCATGTGTTTACGAAGTCTAACTCCACTTAAGAGTTCTAACTCATTTTTGCTCCAGGATCCCAGCGTCTTAGCTGTGACCACTTGCAGGTCATATTGCTGAGGCTGACTCTAGGAGCAGAGGTACACAAACAGTCTTTATTTTAAAATTTTTTTGAGGTGGTGTCTTGCTCTGTTGCCCAGGCTGGAGTGGAGGATGGACTTCTGCTCACTGCAACTCTCCGCTCCAGATTCAAGCAATTCTTCCAGCCTCAGCCTCCGAGTAGCTGGGACTACAGGTGCCCGCCATCATTCCCAGTTTTTTTTTTTTTGCATTTTTATAGAGAGGTTTATTCATGCTAACAGTCATCTGAACTCTGAGATACGCCTCCTAGCCTCCCAAAGTGCTGGGATTACAGGTGTGAGCACCTGCCTAGCCTTAAAACCCATTTCTAAATTCCAAAGGAATAACTTCTGATATACAGTCAATAAGAGAGGTAGCAAACAACTGTAAAAGCAACTATAACTGAACTCTACTTGAGACATGGCTCAGTATTTCAAATGAAAAGCGGACACAGTCTATGAAATATCATCTCAAATGTAGCTGCAAATTAAGGAACAAAATAGTAGTGCTGCATTTACAACCAAGATGGGAAACATGCATAATTCGAGCAACCCAAAGTTTGGGACAGAGATAGGAGAAGCCAAAGATTAGTGGTACTGACATTTTGTAGGGCATTAGCGACATCTTGTATCTTTACATACATATATAACCTCACCATCAACCTACATGCTTAACCAACATCATCTCTGTAGTAATAACTACATATCTGCCTTGCCACATGCAAACTCACATACATATGTCAGTGAGGTTTGTTCTATTATTTACTCTCACTTTACAAATGAAGCAAGGGAGGCATGGGAAGAAGCTTATTAATAGGTAACTTGTTCAAAGTCACATAGTCCCTAAGTGAAAGGGAGAATTCTGACTGAGTGACTTTCACTCAGAACCTACACTTTAAACACTATGTCTTTGTTGGTCGTATTGCCTAACCTTTGACAGGGTATTCCTGTAAATATAAGTCATCAGTGAATGAGACCACAAACGCATGCAGGAACAACAAAAGATGAAAACAGAACAGGCAGAACACGAGTTCGAGACTAGCCTAAGCAACACAGAAACCTGTTTGGCTAAAAATACAAAAATTATACAGGCGTGGTGGTAAGCTCTGCCAGCTACTGGGGAGGCTGAGGTAGGAGAATCGAAGAACCTGACAGATGGAGGTTGTGCTGCTTGAGATCCTACCATTGTACCTTAGCTTGGGCACAGAGCGAGACTCACCCAAACAAAACAAAACAAAAGGGAAGGACAAAAACGTAGTTACTTGGAGGGGTCACCCACTCGACCCGACTTCTGCCAAAGCCCCAAACCCTAACCGTGTCTGGGACCAGCTGAGGACTCCGCGTTTGGGTGGTAACCTTGGTAATCTGCCAGGAAGAAGCCAGCCTCCAGGCCGACTTTCTGCGGCTGAGCGAGTTACCCCAGCGTCAGATCAGCGTCCGGCGGAGTCTGCACAGTGACACCTGACGGTGGGAGGCGGCCAGGCAGCGCGCCTGGATTGGCTGGAGCAGACAGGGTCGGCTGGGCGTGGCGCTGACTGGGAGACCGCAGTCCGGGAGCGCAATCTTCGAAGTTCTCGCATCAGGCGCGGGCCCAAGATGGTGGAGGTGAAGCCCACTCAGCATGCGGTCGAGGGGGCCCCCTACCGAGCGGAGGCTGGGGGTGGCCCCGGAGGTGATGACCCGCTGCGTCTTCATGGTTGGGGCCACAGCGCCTGCCCCCGGCAGGCTAGGAGGAGCAGACCATATGCTCATGCGAGAGGCCTGGGGACCTCAGGAGGATGTAGGCTCCGGGTGCGCTCCGGCTGGGCCTTCTTGTTTCCGTAGGCTTCTGGTCTCCACGTGCCCTGCCCCCGGCCTCCCGCTACTCTCGCCTGTTCCAGTTCCCTGTGGGTACTAATGCATCTTCCTGAGGCCCAGAATCCACCGTCAGGCATAAATTATTTACCTCACCAAAGCTGTGCCAGGTATATTTGTATGTAACCAAATCTGGTTTCTGCATCCCATTAGAGGACCCTGCTGGGGAGACTAGACTTAAGCTACAGGAATGAACTGTATGGTTCAGGTATGTTCTATCACTCACTCTAAAATATTAGGACTAACACAGTTCAGACAAGGAGGGATTTAGGTGCTGGCCCTTTGTAAGGGTCTACATTCCTTTAGGAGAGCAGCTGAAGGGTGGCTCAGCCCCCCACCCTGTGGGTTTCTGCCGGTGGAAGGAGAGACTGAGAAAAGAAACAGACACAGAGACAAAGCACAGAGAAAGAAAAGTAGGCCGCAAGGGACTCTGATGCTCAGCATAGGAGGACAGATCATGCACGGGTCTCTTGAGCTCCTCAGTATTTATTGATCATTATTTTTACCATCTCAGAGAGGGGATGTGGTTGACAATAGTGTAATTGTGTGAGAGGGTCAGCAGGAAAACATGGGAACAAATGGCTCCTGTGTCATAAATAAGTTTTAAGAGTGTCCTGTGCTTTGATGCATGGGACATAAACATCTCCACAAACATTTCTGTGCATTAAAGAGCAGCACTGCTGCTAGTATGTCTCACCTCCAGCCCTAAGGCAGTTTTTTTCCTCTCAGTAAATAGAACATACAATCCACTGCCCAGGAGGAGCAGGAGACAGATGCCTTCCTATCTCAACTACAAAGAGGCCTTCCTTTATTAATCCTCCTCAGCACAGACCTCTTTACAGGCTGGGGGACGGGTCCGGCCTTTCCTTCCCACGAGGCCATATTTCAGACTATCACATGGGGAGAAACCTTGGACAATACCCTGGCTTTCCTAGGAGAGAGGTCCTGCAGCCTTCTAGGTGTTTGTGTCCCTGGGTACTTGATATTAGAGAATAGTGATGACTTTTAACAAGCATACTGCCTTCAAGCACTTGTTTAACAAAGCACATCCTGCACAGTACTCAAGTCCATTAAACTCTTGAGTAAACATACAGATGTCTCTGCAAGCACAGGGTTGGGGTGGAAGTACAGATTAACAGCATCTCAAGGCAGAAGAATTTTTCTTTAGTACAGGAACAAAATGGAGTCTCTACGTCTATTATAGTCTACACAGACACAGTAACAGTCCCACCTTTCTTTTCCCCACAAGCTTCAAAAGTCAGGCTAGTTTAAAGTAGTCTTCCCAGATTGCCACCAGAGCACTTTTTAGGCATTCTAATCTATAGGCTCTTACTACCTTGTTTCGTGTAGGTGTGTGCCTTCTAGGCATAGATTCCCTTTGTTTAGCTTCAATTTGAATGCATGCTCATAAGGAATGTGAATTAAAAAGGACTGATATAGTTACAAGATACTAAGAACTGCAAATGAAACAGTGGTATTTAAGAATGAGGTCTGGCTAGCTTTGAGGTAGACACATTTTCTTGGCTCATGTCTCTTGTTTTTATTTGAATTAATACAACTTACTTCTTTTCTTGAGACAGAGTCTTGCTGTCACCACAGCAATCTTGGTCACTGCAACCTCCGTCCCGGGTTCAAGCGATTCTCCTGCCTCAGCCTCCCTGAGTAGCTGAAGAGAGGTCTACCATGCCCGGCTAATTTTTTGTATTTTAGTAAACAGGGTTTCACCATGCTGGTCAGGCTGGTCTCGATCTCCCACTCACTGTGTCCACCTCGCTGTAGCTCCCAAGTGCTGGGATTACAGGCACAGCACCAGGCCTGGACTTTTTTTTTTTTTTCAATCAATTATGCCACTTAACAGCTCCATTAAAACCTCAAAGGATGGAGTTTGGAGAGCTTCCCAGATAGCTGCTGAACACATAGAGGTTCCTGGACAGGTGGGGTCTAGGAGAGGCACAAAGCCTGCTCCTCTCTCTCCCCACTCTGGCTGCCTTACATCTTCATCTGTGTCCCTTTGTAATATCCTTCTATAATAAACTGGTCAATAGAAGTACATGTTTCCCTGAGTTCAGTGGCAGAGTGTGCCACTCTAGCAAATAATTTAACCCAACAGGGAGCTTGGGATCCCCGATTTATAGCTTGGTTTGGTCAGAAGCACAGGTGAAACAACCTGGGACTTGCATTAAATCATGGGCAGTCTGTTGGGTAATTGAGTCCCTGAACCCAGGATCTGTTGTCCACTATCTCCAGTAGAGTGGTCCAAATTGAACTGAATTAGAGAACACCTAGCTGTTGCTGCTGCAGAATTTATTGCTGCTTGGTGTGTGTGGAAACCTAAAATATTTGGTCAGAGGTACGGCCTGCAACCGCCAGTGGGGACTACCTTGTCGTACTGCCTAGACAGAGCCAATTTATCAAGACAAGCAGTGAATTTGTCAAGAAAGGGGACTGTAACCCGAGGAAGAGTAATTGCAGAGCTGCTATGCATGAGGACGGAGTTTAATGACAAACAGTCTCCAGAGCATTCTAGATCAGAGTTTTTGAGAAGACTGGTGTATGGGCTTGGAAAAAGTGAAGTGCTGATTGGTTGCTGTGATGAACCATTGAGGGTGAAGGTGAGTCTGCTTGACTATGCTTCCTGTGATTGCAGATCCGTTGATCCAGGGCATTGGTCTGGTAGGTTGCTGTGATGCACTGGAATGCAGGGTCCATAAAATATCTCAAGTAATTGATCTTAGGTTTTACAACAGTGATGTTATTCTAGGCAATTTGGGGAGGTTCAAAACTTATAGAGGCTGTAAGGGCCCCTAGTTGTAATTTCAATTGCAAAGAACTTACACTCACAGCAGCATCTATCCCCAGGCAAGAAGGGGTTTTTCAGGAAAGGGCTGATATCACCTTGAGTTTACATTTAATCTACAACCAAATTCCTTCCAGGGCTATTGACCTATGCCTTTGTTCATACCAGGAATGATCAAAGACAAATGAGGTTAGGATGGGGTTAGTTAGTCTGCCTTTCACTGTCATAATTTCAATTATAATTTTGCAAAGGCAGCTTCTACCTTGCCTGTTATCCCAATGATTCAGTGAAGCTGAGGCAGGAGGACATTTGAGGTCAGGAGCTCAAGGCTGCAGTGAACTACATGGCACCACTGCACTCCAGCCTGGATGACAGCAAGACCCTCATCCCTAAAACTAAAATAATTTTAAACAGCACGGCTATGTGCTTCTGTGTTGACTGGACTGTAAAAAGGGCAGAGGGAAAACTTTTTTTTTTTTCAAGTAGACTTACCTTTTTACAATGCCCTCTGTCTCTGAGGGTTCATCTCAGACCACTTCTTTATTGGCTGTATCTCTTTGCAATAGTTATTTAAAAGGGCTTATAACTGTCATACTCTTTATGCCAACATAACTGGAAATGTTTACTATTGCTTTTAATGCAAGAGACACTTTACTGGGTTAAAAATTATCGCCCAAAGACTTTGTTTCCTTGGAATTATATGGGCATTACTAATATGGTATGGAGAGACCGGGGGAAGGGCAAAAGCTCAACCTGAAATTTGTCTTGCACATTAGCCTTTTCTGCCTAGGGGATGCCCATTTGCCATTTGGCCTCTTAAATTTAATTACTTCCAAAAGCGATATGTCTCAGTTTTGACTCTTCTGTCTACTTTTAAAGAGCCAAGCAATTTACCTTCCAGTAGATTTAAGTGTTTACTTGCAACATTTTCTTGTTATATATTGATTTTCTTTTTTTTAATTTTTTTTTTTTTTTTTTTTTTTTTTTTTTTTTTTTTTTGAGACAGAGTTCTGCTCTCTGCCGCCCAGGCTGGATGCAATGGCGCGATCTTGGCTCACCACAACCTCCACCTCCCAGGTTCAAGCGATTCTCCCTGGGGGTTCCCAGCCTCCCGAGTAGCAGGGACTACAGGCACACGCCACCATGCCCAGCTAATTTTGTGTTTGTAGACAGCAGGATTTCTCCATGTTAGTCAGGCTGGTCTCAAACTCCTGACCTCTGGTGATCCGCCTGCCTCAGCCTCCCAAAGTGCTGGGATTACAGGTGTGAGCCACTGCACCCGCCTCTATGTTTGCTCTTTTTCTTTAGGAACACTTAATTATATATTTAATTATCTTTCTTTAATTACTGGTTTTCTGTAATCACATTTGTATTCATTTCACTTTTTATTATTTCTGCAGGCTTCACTGCACTTGTCGTGATTATTTTCGTTGTCTTTATGTGAATTTCATTTACATAATGTTTTTCATTTGCCCTTCCATTTATTTCAGCTTTGTCAAGTCACTTCACTTTTATTGCTTTCAACGACTTGCTTGGCCAAGATGGTGGCTCATGTCTGTAATCTCAGCACTTTGGGAGACTGAAGGATTGCTTGAGGCCAGAGCTGACCAGCCTGGGCAACACAGAGACCTTCTCTGCAAAATGGCTTTAAACTAGCTGGATATGGTGGTGTGCCTATCGTATTAGGTTGAAGTGGGGAGGAATCTCACTGATCCCAGGAGTTTGAGGTTGCAGTGAGCATGAATGCACCACGCACTCCAGCCAGGTGACAGAATGACAGAATGTATAAAAACAAAAGAAGTTGCAGTGGCTCACGCCAGAATCCTAGCACTTTGGGAGGCCGAGGCAGGAGGATCCCTTGAGGCCAGGAGTTCCAGAACACCCCGGGCAGCATGGCAAAGCCCCATCTACAAAAATTGCATGTGGCTGCAGCATGCCTGTAATCCCAGCTACTTGGGAGGCTGAGGGGGGAGAATCATCTCAGCCTGAGAGGTCAAGACTGCAGTGAAACGGTGATTGCACCACTGCACTGCATTCCAGCCTGGGTGACAGAGTAAGACTCATTTAAAAAAAAAAAAAAAGTAAAAAAAAAAATGGCCTGGCACAGTGACTCACAGCTATAATCCCAGCACTTTGGGAG